TAGCACTGGAAGTATCTGCAATAGCGATTAGGCAACACAAAGATATTAAGGGCATCCAGGTAGGAAAAGAAAAAATCAAGCTCTCACTATTCGCAGATGATATGATACTATACATAGAGAACCCTAAAACCTCTACCAAGAAACTCCTAGAAAGAAGAGACTTGTATAGTAAAGTTGTAGGCTATAAAATCAATGCCCAAAAGTCCATGGCTTTCCTCTATGCAAATAGTGAGAGAGAAGAAAGTGACATGAAGAAAACAATCCCTTCACAATTGTGCCACAGAAAATCAACTACCTAGGAATTAGCTTAACTAAGAAAGTAAAGGACCTGTACGAACAAAACTATAAAATGCTACTTCAGTAAATAAAAGAGGACACGAGAAAATGAAAAGATATCCCCTGCTCATGCATCGGGAGAGTTAATATTGTCAAAATGGCAATACTACCCAAAGCATTGTGCAAGTTCAATGTGATCCCTATAAGGATACCCATGACATTCTTCAAAGAAATGGAGCAAACACTCCTGAAATTTATATGGAACAATAAGCCCCCACGAATAGCTAAAGCAATTCTAGGGAAAAAAGAAAATGGGAGAAATAAATCTCCCTAACTTCAAACTCTAATACAAAGCAGTAATAATTAAAACAGCATGGTACTGGAACAAAGGCAGAGCTGCAGACCAATGGAACAGGGTTGAATATACTGACATCTCCCCCCAAACATATGGTCATCTAATCTTTGATAAGGGAGAATAAAATGTGAAGTGGAGCAAGGAAAGCCTCTTTAACAAATTGTGCTGACAAAACTGGACATGCAAAAAAATGGGCTCAGACCTCTGCCAAACACTATGTACAGAAGTAAGATCAAAATGGATTAAAGACCTCAACAACAGACCAGAATACATAAGTACATTGAAGACAAAGTTGGCAAAACCCACCATGACATTGAAGCTTATGGTATCTTCAAAGATGTCACACCACTGGCCAAGTAAGAGAATACAGAGATAGACAAATAGAACTATCTTAAAGTAAGAAACTTCTGCACATCAAAAGAAACAGTGACCAAAATACAAAGACAGTCTACAGAATGGGAAAGGATATTCACCCAAAAACCACCTGACAAGGGGTTAATATCAAGGATATACAAAGTACTGGTTGAACTCCACAAGAAGAAAACATGCGACCCCATCAAAAAATGAGGCGACGAAATGAACAGAAACTTTCTCATAGAAAAAATCCTAATGGCTAAAAGGCACATGAGAAAATGCTCTACATCATTAATCATCAGGGATATGCAGATTAAAACAACAATGAGATATCATTTCACACCACAGAGACTGGACCACTTCCAAAAGACCAAAAGCAACCTGTGTTGTCACGGATGTGGCGAGAAAGAGACCCTCATTCATTGCTGATGGGAATGCAGAATGGCTCAGCCCTTTTGGAAAACAGTATGGATGATTCTCCAAAAATTAGAAATTGAGCTCTTATTTGACCCAGCAATGCCACTCCTGGGAATATATCCCAGAGAGACAAAAAAGTTTAGTCGAAGTGACATCTGCTCTTGTTTGTTCATTGCAGCACTGTTTTCAATAGCTAGAATCTGGAAAAAACCTGAGTGCCCGAGAACAGAAGACTGGTTAAAGAAACTTTGGTACATATACATAATGGAGCACTATGTAGCTGTTTGAAAAGAGGATGTCATGAAATTTACATACAAGTGGTACTACATGGAAAGTATCATGCTAAGTGAAATGAGTCAGAAAGAGAGGGACAGACATAGAAAGATTGCATTCATCTGGGGAGCATAAAGTAACAAAATAGGAGACTAACACCCAAGAATAGCTGAGATAAGTACCAAGAGGTTCACTCCGTGGTTTGAAGGCCAGCCGTACATTATAGGGGGAAAGGCAGCTCAGATAGAGAAGAGATCACCAATTAAAGGGTGTTGGGAGGATCATCCCAGGATGTGAGATGCATGCTGAAAGTAGAGTATAGACAGAACATGATTGCCACTCAATGCCTCTTTTGCAAACCACAGCACCCAAAAGGAGAGAGAGAACAAAAGGGAATGCCCTGCCACAGAGGCAGGGTGAGATGGGGGGATGGGGGGTGGGAGGGCTACTGGGATCATTGGTGGTGGAAAATGGGCACTGGTGGAGGGATGGGTCCTCGATCATTGTATAACTGAAACCCAAGCACAAAAATTTGTAAGTCTACAACTGTACTTCATGGTGTTTCACAAATAAAAATTAAAAATTAATAAAATAAAATAAAATTCCACTGACTTCCTGAGAATAGAGCACAGATTTTAGGACGATGTGACAATCCTGACTTGACTTTGCTTTTGTGATTTGTAACTCTCCCTGTGACTACTCAGTTTCTGGAGTTAATTTCGAGAGGGGGTGAGCAAAACTGGATGTGCTTAGGCATTACTCTTGGCTCTGGACTGGCAGTTCCCAGGCTGCCATAAGCTATATGAGAGATAAAAAGCTAGTCGGTCACATGCAATGCAAGTGCCCGACTTAAAAATATTATTTTTTAATGTTTTTATACCTATCCATTGAAATTTTTATTTCTTTTTTTTTTTTGAAGGAGAAATTGGAACCACACCTGGTGGAGGGCAAGGAATACTTTCGACTCTGTGCTCAGGAGTGACCTCGAGCCATGCTCCTGTGAACGTATCTCATGCCTGAGATCTACTAGGGTTTTCCACATGCAAGTGCTATCTCTCTGACCCTAGTAATGAAGAAATTTTATTTGCTTGTTTTTAGGATACGGATCAAAATCAGCACTGCACACATGCAAGAGACGTGTTCTGTGAATGATTAACAGTCTCTGACTAATAATATATAATTTGGTTAAATTTTTCTGGGAAGTACACTATTCAGTTTGGCCAACTGACCGTGTAGCATGTGGCATTGGGACAGAGAATCCCATGAGTGCAGCCTGAATGGACACTTTGTAGTGGATTTGGGTAAATCCCATAGTCTTTGTGCATCTACCGTCTACCAACTTTCTGTGATGTTCTATATGATTATCATTTCTAAATATTTGATTTGATTTCACTCTCACAAGCCACATTTAAGTGCTCAATTGGAAAGGAAAAGTGTTCCTAATTTGAGAGAATAAAATTATGCTCTTCTCTCTTGTGGCCCTTTTCTTCTCAACCTGAACACATAGGAGGCAATGACAAGGCAAAGCACGTCAATCTGGGGAGCAGTCAAAGGCAAGCTGGGGTTCATAGATTAAAGCAGACAACAGAGAAAATTCTTGCTGGAGGTTTTGTCAAGTCAGAGTTTTCTGGAGGACACAGAAAAGTAAAAAGTAAAAGAAGGAAGGGTATGACTTGAATAGACTTTCATTCTGCTCCAACGGTGTGGGGTTCTAGGAAGCATGAACCCTGTTCCATGATATCCCCTTCAATTCTATAGCAATTGATGCCTGATAGTTTTATCCTTATCTTTTTTTTTTACTTTTTTATTGAATCACTGTGAGATAGACCCTTACAAAGCCGTTCATGGTTGAATTTCAGTCCTATACTATAACAAACCACCTCCCTCCACCAGTGTATATTTCCCAGCACCAGTGTCCCCAGGTTCCCTCCCATCACACACCACCCCCTACCCCTGCCTGCCTCTCTCTCTCCCCCACATCCTTCTCTCTCTCTCTCTCACCCCTAGGGGAAGTAGTTTTCTATATTGATACTGAAAGGTTATACAGATTATCCCTTACCTGCTTTTAGCCCTCACATCTTGTCCAGCATAATCATTCACAGCTCTTGTTGTCATGCAGATCTCTTCTCTGTCTCACCTACCCTCATCTGTGGTTTCTTAAAGCAAGAACTTTTGGTCTAATTCCAAGAGAAAGACTTCATCTGGCTCTTGGTACCATTCTAAGTGACCTCACAGAGTAAAAGACAGAGCAGGTAGGATTATCCTGTCTATGTATATAAAGAGAATTTACAAAAACGGTGTTTCTCACAAAAATGATTATCTCCAGTCCAGTGTGCCCTCCTCTTCACTTTGATCTAACCATGACAGAGAATTTTGATGGGAGCACATGAGTCTATCTTGCCAGTCTCAAATTCACAAATTTCAGAATACAGGCATGCTTGTTCCCCAATTAAAATACAATCTTATGCTCATAGATATTTTGATATAGTCATGACCAAATGGGTGACTTTGCATTGATTTGTGAGTCTGAGTGTGAAAGTTGATGAGTATTGCTGATATGGTAGCTGACCATGTGGAAGAAGGGGGAGTTTCCATGTCTAAGAAGACCTACCAGTGAGGAGTGTATGTGAGTGTGTGTTCTGGGGTGGGATTAAATTTATTTTATTCTGATGTTCTCTGCAAATTGTGTCAAAATACCCTTTGAATTTTACTTTTTTTATGGGGTCCTCACCTGAAAATGCTCTGGGCCTCTTTCTTCCTCTGTGATCAGGACTGACTCAGGGTGGTGCTCAGGGTATCGATGATGCTGCAGATTTGAAAGTGGCAACCACACAACTAGCAAGCACTTCCTCAGCCTGCAATATTGGGAAAGCTCTTACTCACGAGCCCCCAACACAACTCTCTGATCTTCGCACCTTGGTTTAGCCACATTTAGAATAAAACAATATTAACACCATTACTTGTAATATTTTTTAATATATCTCAGGATTCACTTTGTGATTTATTTACGCTTGCAATAATGTTTTATTTCAGAAAATGTCAGACTAAAATAAACAGGTTGTTCATTGGCTTCCCTGAACTATTGACATTTCATGTTTTCTCCGTCTAAGAAACATCCATCCATACTTCTTTTTTCAAAGTGGGTTGCATTATATGCAGAGCAGTACACAAATCAATGCAAGCAACGTCACCAAGATGCAATGACTAGTTCATTAGGGTACCAGGGAGAAATGAATGATCATAAACAATCATCCCCCTGGCATGCACTTGTGCAAAGACAGAAAGATGATAAACATCTATGTGAGATCCAGAAAAATCTAGAAATTTATTCCCATGTGAATAGCTCTGGAGGAAGATCTTTCATCTTCTCCTGGTATATTTCATCAAAGATTTCTGCTTGCGCAACTGTGAAGTGATTTTTCCAGTCTCCATATACACCTGATAAACATAAAAAAGAGACTCTGATTAGATGATTTCAGCTCTGCTGACACCAAGACGTCTTCTCCTGGCTTGGGTACAAAACTTACCTCTGTCATGTACTGATGCGAAAAGGAAAACTAAGATCAAACACTGTCATGCTGTCCTAGGTTTCTTCACTTTACTGAGTGTAACTGGTTAGGAATGTGAGAGAACCATTTCTCATTTTTTTATTTGTTTGTTTCTGGGCTACAACTGGCAATGTCAGGGTATCCTCTTGGGACTCTCTTCAGGAATCACTCCTGGCTCAACTCAGGTAGACGTTGCTGCACCAACCTTAGGTCGGCTGCATGCTATGCAAGTGACTGCTATCTTGTGTTTTCTCTCCAGTTCCTTCTGTTTCTTTAAAATACTAGATTAATTTTTCTTCAGACTAATCTTGGCCTGGAGGTCACTGACCAGGATTTCTATGTCAGAATACTTGGGGATCTGAGGGATATTGCTCTCCATGACAGGAAGTGATCCTTCCAGTAATTACCTGGACACGCTTTTGTCCACTATCTGCTTATAAGGATATAAGTCGTAGCAGTCCAGGACTGAGTCTTACTATCTCCTTGTGGTAATGACTCCTTACAGAATGTATCTCCAAATCTAGTTCTAAAGTCCTGAACAGGGAACGGGAGTCACTTCAAAGAGGAAATTAGCCTGGAACACGCCTCATTCTGCTCTCCACAAAATTATCGTCCTTCTCACACCAGAAAAGAAGTATTCTCACCCAGCTGCCAAAATGTTCCCACCCTCTAAAGCAACAGCTTTCCTCAAGTGGCCTGTGATTCATGTTACCTTTTTTCATATGCAACATCATGAACTGCAGAACACAGGTCTCTTTTCCAAAGGAAAGAATCAGAATCAAGCCAGACATTGCAGAAAAATAGTAGTTGACTAGGAGTCACTGAGCAGGGGCCAGAGCCATAGCACAGGGGTTAGTCCTTTGCCTTCCACATGGCCCTACCAGTTTCTATGTCTGGCATCCCACAGGGTCCCCCTGAACCACTAGGAGTAATTCCTGAGTGAAGTGTCAAGAGTAAATACTGAACATCACTGGCATGGCTCACACCATCCCTCATTTCCACCCACCCCCAAAAAAGAGAAACACATCAAATTCTCCTAGAGTTTAAGCATCAAGGAAAGCCTCTTATTCCTGCACAACCTCTAGGCCACCATGGTGTGTCACCTGACACCACAGCCCTGGGTGACAGCCTGGCCTGGCTGAGTATGGAAATCATTTCCTTCCTTCTTCTAGCCTCACATCCTTGAAGCTGGAATTTTCCAAGTCTATGCCTGAGAAACCCTTCATCTTGAGCCCGAGGGTAGGGAATTCATCAAATTTTATTACACAGGGTCTGACACAAACTTGTAGGAACACAGCCTTTTGCAGAGTGAAACACCTAATCTGTCCTCTCAAAGGATGAAAATGCTAGACATTTATTAGTTCGGGACAGTAACAAGACCATGCCCAATTTCACTCTCTTCCCCAGGTCTTCCATCCTGGTCTGTTTAATTTTGGTCAGGAAATTCACTAGGACCCCTTTGTAAGCTGAATATCTGCATGCCAATTTCTTAGAAGAGAGATAGATCTACTGACATCACAGAACTCAGATGATCCCAAAGCAGGAATCAGCATCTGCCAGTGCCATTAGCCCACGTCATGACTATGAGAGATCTTCACCCAGGTCAGGGAGAGGGGCAATGAGTGATTGACAATGTCCATTCATGAACTTAAACTATTCTGCTATCAGCCCTGTTGTCCTGCCATACACACAGCATTTTGCTTTACCTTTCCTCATCATGGTTGATGTCTTTAGATCAATAGCAACACCATCCACCAGAGAATAATTGGACATCTTGTTGTCTTTCATAGCCTGGAAGGAAGAATTCTCGAGGACTGAATCCAGGGCTTCTGGGCCTAATTCCATGCCCAGAAATCGGCAGATCTTCTGCACACTGTTTCTTGTGTCCTTGAAGAAGATCAGACAAGAGCAATGATTTGAAAGATGCCAGAGAGGAGATAAGAGGGCAGAAACCCCAAAGGGAAATGGGGAGTAGGAGCAGAAGCGCACTTTGAAATTTGACTGCCCAGGAACTGGACAGGCTGGAAACAGTCAGAGGGAACACAGGGAGTGCGAAGAAGGCAGGTCCCCTCGGTTCTCTGAGGGGTAAGTAAGCCTTCCTGCCAAACAGAGTCCAGAACACAAGATGCTGAAAAGACTTTAGACACCTGTGGTCAGAGTCACTCAAGACAGGTCCAGTGAGAAGCTGACACGGTGAAAGGGATAAATTGCAGCTCTCGTGGTGCTGTCAAGGCTGTCCAGAAACCCCGACTGAGGAACGTACATGTGCACAGTGCCATCCTATAAACAGTGTCAGTCATTGGACTGGGTGCACAAAGCACCAGTGAGAGATGATAAGAAAAACGATGCAACTCTGGAAGGACTTAGTTGTGATTAATGGACCTTACTTCTTCCCAGAACTAAGAAGCAATTTACGTTCTTTTTCCATGAGTCTTGATTATGTTTCACAAGGTAATTTCTTACATGAGAAGTGATGTCAGGAAAGTTGTTTTAGTGGATGGAAACTTCTCCAGGGGAAGAGAGTGGGTGTCAGACGGAACCCTTGTGTTAGGGAAGTATGTTGGGTAATAGGAAATAACTGCAGATACATTTGGGAAGCTCAAGTTGCTTCCACAGCCCATAATTTCCACCCCCATGAGCAGCATCCTCAATGGTGACCACATTGGAGGAGCCAGTACCTATGTGACTTTCAGGCATTGCCTGTCTTTGGGTGGGGCAGACACTCTTTCAATGTTAAAGGGAGCATAGAACCACAGTCAAGAGTAAGGAGTCTGGGGAGTGCTCTTCCAAAGGGGGGCACCCCTGGCACAAGCTTTCCTCCCTCTGGGGACCTACCATATGTCTACAGAGATGTTGATTTGAGACACAGAGGAGGAGGAACAGGTCATAAGGTGCAAATAGTTTGGGGGTTCCGGCCACAGGAACCAGAGTTACCCTTTTCAGCTCTTCATAACTCAGCAGCAGGAAGTTCTCCTGGTCTCTCCTGGGCATCCAGCCATGGATATGATCGAACCACGATCCATAGGGCACTGCAGAGTGGGGAGGCAGAGAAAGGAGTGGGTCCCACACTATGGTGCTTAGGATCCTCTGAATGTCAAAACTCAGGCAACATTGCTCACACCTCTCCATAGTGTGGTCTTTCCTAGGAGTCACTGATTGAGCACGAGGAAGTGGGGACACAGTATTCCAACATCCTGGGGGTCTCCTGCCCGAGTCAGCTCTGCAGCAGCTTTTTGAGTCTCTACGAAGTTCCTGCCCTGTGACCCGACCAAGGATGGAGAGACACAGTATTGGATCTTGAATATATTGTCTCTCTTACGGCTTTGACTGTTGCTTTAATAACTATTTTCACTTAGGAAATGATCTTTGTCTATGTCTCTCTGTCCCTCTCTGTCTCTATCTCGCGGTCTCTTTCTACTTGTCTATCTCCCCTATTCTGTTCTGAGAGCTCTGTTCCATGTTCAACTACTGTTTCCTGGGGAATTGTATAATGTGTCTATGTGATAGTGGTGGGCTTTCAGCTCTGTCGATTCAGGATTTTCTCAGACGTGTTTCCTTGGGGAATGCCTTTTCTTGTATATTATGTGATTTTGGAAGGTCTAGCATTCCACTAGGGGTTACCTCAAATGTGGTGTACTTTCTTTGTTGGGTTGTGGTGGGGAGGAGGGGAGGCAGTCACATCCTGCAGTGCTTAGAGATTACTCTGGATCTGCGTTCCAGGCGTGGGGAGCCATGAAGGACTTTGGATCACATCAGAATTGGCTGCATGCAAGTCCCGTTGCTTCCCTGCTTGGGTGTCTCTCCTCTAATCCTGATTGCACTGGGTTCAACGGGTGTAGAGCATGTCTGAGCTATTCTGTCTGTTGTGTGCTCTTGGGAATCCCTTTGCCTGTGTCTTCTGCTCACTCTAGTTGTCCTTTGAGAAGGATCCTAAACAAAGGCTCATTTTTCAAGTAAAATATAGACAGAATATCTTACTCTTCCATAGACCACAACATTTTCAGAAAAATACTATGAAACGTGGGCGGAAGTTTCATTGTTCTCCTTCCTGAGCACATTTGAGACTCAAAAGCCACTCTGAGAATTTTGTTGAGTGTAATTCATGTTTATAAATTCATTTTGAGAACATTTAAAAATGAATTAATCATTCATTAAAGCATGTGTCTTCCAAAATCTTGGATCCAATTGATCCCCATAGGCAATTTGACCCAACTTTGATTTCCTTTTGCAAATTAAGTTTTTTTGTGCACAGAGATATTTGCGTATTAATTTCCTGTCAGTAGTTGCACATCAGAGTTGTGCATCGGACAATATAATGTCGATTGAGGAACAAGTCATCCTGGCTTCATTACAGAGAGTCTGCAGATGTCTGCCTTGGCCACAGTAAAATGGAAATTGATGGAGTAACTGACACTCAAGTCTGAGCAAAAAGCAAGCAACATAGCATGAGGAGTTGTGTAGGTAACATGCTTAGTCGAAGTTCTTGGGACCCGGGAGTAAAGGATCTTAAAAATATGACATTTAGAAATGGCTGGGGAAAAGGAGATGAAGAACTTTCCATTCATGTCGAAGAATCGAGGGGATAAAGGCAGGTGAAATAGTACAGCTGTTCGGCCCTTTCAAAAACAACCCCCCTCCCAAAACATTAAAAGAAACTAGAAATGAGGGGAGAGAGGAGAATGAAAAGTGTTTAGAGAAAAAAATGGAGGAGAAATAGAAGAAATTCCTCATATTCCTAGAACAAAATGCATATAATTGTGCAAGTTTCCTAGTAAATAATATAATCTTTTGACACTAAAAGATCTCTGGCCTGGCCCTGGGAAGTGACACAACTAAACATGATTGTTGCAAAATGCTATCAGAAAGGCACAGACATGTGCTTTCCATGCTGGGGTCTGTCCAACTGCAGCTTTGCGATTTAAAGTCTGTCTTGACATAGGAAACATTGTGGGTGCATCAGTTCCTTCCCTTCAATTCCTTACCTGCATCATTTTTCTCCCTCCACTTCCCACCTATCATCACAATGAGCTTGAGCACAGAAATGTGTCACTTTTAAAACCAAGACAGACCCACATCATATTCCTTTGATGAGTATCTATTTATAGTCTTTCTACCTTGTGGTTATTTGGATTGTTATCTCTTACTGGGCTCATTTAAAATTGACTTGTATCATTGGTGTGAATGCCTACATTCATTTATAGTTAACTTGTATCATCACTGTGAATGACTATGTTCATTTATAATTAACTACTATCATCGCTCTGTGTAGAGGAATGAGGATCATTGTTGAGAGGTCATATGAGGCAAACTAGCACGCATAGGGGCATTTATTAGCCCATAACGTATTGATAAGTACAGATTTCTGGGCATGTGTTTTCTCATGAACACAGCAATCTCAGAACAGGTGGCTTCCAAATACTAACATAAATCTTGTCTGATTTATTAAAAGTGGACTGTTGAATGTAAAGGAGAATTCTGATTTGTTAAACTATAAAACAGAGATTAGGAAGATAACATGACTTGTTTGTCATCACTGTCATCCCATATTCATCAATTTCCCCGAGCAGGCACCAGTAACGTCTCCATTCGTCCTAATGCTGAGATTTTAGCAAGTGCCACATTGGAGGCTCCTTCAGGGTCAGGGAAATGAGATCCATTATTGTTACTGGGTTTTGGCATATCGAATACGCCACAGGGAGCGTGCCAGTCTCTGCCGTGCTGGCAGGATACACTCGGTAGCCTGTCAGTTTCTCTAAGAGTGAGAACTAGACGATAAACTAAACTGGGAGCTGGGTTTTATAGTCCCTTGGTCTTGGCCGTTGATGCGATAACAAGGCGCCAGGGGCAATTGGTGGGTGTAATGCCTAGCTACTGGAATATGGGGGATCTGGGTGGAGGAGACCCAGTCCCGATCCGAGCAGGATTGAAGATCTCAGCCCGGGATCCCGCACACCTGGGTTCCTCTGCCAGTTCCTTCATGCGTGAGGCTCGTTTGTCATACTTGCACCCAATTATAGTTTCCAATAGAGTCAAAAGCTACTGCACTGCACTGTCCTCCCGTTGTTCATTGATTTGCTCAAGCGGGCACCAGTAAGGTCTCACAACAAATTGTGAGACTTATTGTTACTCTTTTTGGCATACTGAATACATCACGGGTAGCTTGCCAGGGTTTGCTATGTGGACAAGATACTCTCGGTAGCTTGCTGGGCTCTCTGAGAGGGGAGGCCATGTCAGCCACGTGCAGGGCAAACACCTTACCCACTGTGCTATTGCTCCAGCCCAAAGCTACATCATTGATAAGAAAATAAATAAGCAGCTCATATTAACACCAGAAATATTGGATCCTATTTCAGCTATACCAGACAGATAGCAGGATGACAAAACTAGGAGCAGAGATGTGGCTCCTGTTTTGAATTGACACTCCTAGCACCTCAAAAATAAGCAGGTACAAAGGTAGTGAGGACAGAGGTCATTTGGCCAACATGAGGTGTAAATTTAGACTAATAATATGAGGGCAGGTAGGCATGAAAATCACTGATCAGTAACATCAATTCTAATGTTCTGTCAGTAAATGCAGAGGACATCGATTTTCTATATCAAAGCAATGAATTGTGTTAGAGGGAAATGAAGAAACAAATCCCATTTCAGGAATACCCAGAGAATAAGAGTATGTCAAAGACATGTGCAGTTAAGACAAGACACTGATGTGAAGGAAACAAAAATCAATAAAAATACACCTGTGTTCTTGGATCTTCGGGAGAATTGCTGTGGTGGATGTGTGCAGAGTACAGAGGGATCTAGAGAATCAGTGCAATTCGTTTCAAATTTCCATGACATTTCTGCAGACATAGAAATGTGTTTCTACAATATGCAAAATTGAAAATGCTCTAATTAACCAGCTATCTCTCTCAAAAAAAAAGAAGAACAAAACTAGAGGCTTCACACACCATGATTTCTACTCTAATAATAAACTTATGGCATGAATACGATACAGTACTGGCCTCAAACACGCATCTCATCTGGTAGGCTCAAGAGAATGCAGACATCATTCAGTCAGCAGCATTTAGTGTTCACACATCAGAGTCATAAACAAGAGCAGCAAGAGTACAATAATGGCTCAGATGATTGTTCGATCAGTGTTGCTGCAAAAAGTGGGTTTCAGGGTGAAAAAGTACGAACCCAACGTCTGCCTTACACCACTAAAAATCTTTGAGACAAAATGGGTCCAAAATTTGAGTTTTGATTGACATCTGGAGTACTCAGGTCTTAGTCCTGTTTCTGTGCTCAGTATTCACTCCCAGCAAGCTCATGGAACATATGGACTAATACTCCAATGTGTCCAACAGGTCCTGATGCTGGAGGTTTGTGAGACTGCACTCCAGCAGAGAATTGGGTCCTAGATAATTGGGTTTCTAACTGACAAACTGGGTGCTCATTTGTTGGGAAATCAATGAGTTATCATCAGGGTGTAACATGAGATCTCATAAAGGACACTGACATCATCTACCCAATTACTGTATTTTACAATCACTCACCATTTCCTTGAAGGAACCAATCAAAATATTGTTCCATTGATTCTGCTTCTTGAACATATTTTAAGCCTTTCCAGAACAAATGTCCAGACACAAGAACATCTCTGGGATTTCTAATGACATAAATTACCTTCAATAGAAAGAGGGGGTAAAAATCAACCATTGGAATGATGTTCTATCCTTCCTTTGAAAATTCATTCATATAGAGGACTATCAGTTTAGAATATGACCGTGTTTCCAGTGTGCTACAGAGGATATCCTTGCATCTGAGCATCCACACATCACCAAACAATCCCTCCCATTACCTGAACTTACCCCTACTGAAGTGATCACCAATGTTATTAATAGTAATTTTTTTCTACCTAAAGTTTTCTTTTCATTAATCATTTGAGGTGGATGGGTGGAGGTTGTGTGGGACACACATCAATCACTTGGGGCATATTCCTGGCTCTGGTTTCAGGAATCTTTCTGGTTGGGCTTAGGGGACCATATTGGGCACTAGGGATTGAAGTTGGCACTCGTAACAACCAAACATCTTCCTTCTGCATTATTGTACCTCCCCTCTTTGCTCATTTTTATTTAATTTTTTTATTTTTTTTATTTTTTAGTGAATCATCATGTGGTAGAATTACAGACCTATAAACTTCCGTGCTTATGTTTCAGTATACAATGATTGAGTAACCGCCCCTCCACCAGTGGCCATTCTCCACCACCAATGTTCCCAGTATCCCTCTCACATCCCCACCCCCCCACCCCCGGCTCTGTATCAGGCGGACTCCCTTTTTACTCTCTCTCCCTCCTTTAGGGTGTTGTGGTCTGCAATGCAGGTGTTAGGTGGCCCTCATATTTGGTCTATAGTCTACTTTCAGTACACACCTCCCATCGAAGCAGGTCCTCCAAGCATTCTTTACTTGGTGGTCCCTTCTCTATCTGAACTGCCTTTTCCCCCAGCATGTGAGGCCAGTTTCCAAGCCGTCGTCATCATAAATTACTTGTCTTTGTTGTGTGATTTGCTTCATAGAGCTTAAAACTGTCACGCTTCATATTCGACAAAACAAAACATTTGCTAATCTTGAGTTTGGTCATTTTCCATTCTAAATGTTCACCTCTCTTCTTATATAATCCAAGAAAACACCATACAATACAAAATAACCATGGGTGGGGTGGGCGGGTGATGGAAGAAGATGGTGGCTGCATGTCTCCAAGAGGCCAGAGTTGGTAGAGCTCTCAACTCTGACAGTGGCGTGCTGTGATCACAAAATTTCTGCCTGAAAGAACATAAGTGTCCTTTGAATATTCTCCCTCAAACATTGATCTTCAGAACCAGCCTGGCGCCCACTGTGGAGCACTGTCCAGGAATGTACCCCCTGAAGAAGGCCGCAGTGAGGCTGCAGGTACCGGCGCTGGCAGAGGCTCTGCAGTTATGTGTGCTATGTCAGCAGGCCGCTGCAGTCACAGAACCTATATGGAATAAACAGTGATCTTCAGGTCCATCCTGGCAACTCTGTGTCACATGGACCCTTGAATAGATGGCCCGCAAGTTCCCGCCATGGAGGGGAGACTTGATGGCCTCACCTGCTCGCTTCTGCCAGGACTTCCCCACCCCCACAGACCTCACACAGTCTCCCCAGATCAGCTCAGGCAGCAGGGGCCATAGTTTCATATCTTGGAGGAAAATCTTCCTGAGCTCCAACCGCCTGGAGACTGGACTCAGTACAGGAGCAAGGGCCCCTGGAAAGGCTCTGCTGCACTGGTTGTGGACGCCTTCCGAGATTACCCAACCCACAGAGTTTCTGGCCAGGGTTGCTACTGCCACCACTCCTGGGGCCCAAAGTCTGCGGCACTGCTGTTGGGGCAACCTGGACCTGCTGGGCGAGAGCATCAGAAGCCCGGTGGTGCCCCTGGGCTACCTGACAACCCAAAAATCAGCGCTATGCCTCTGGCCAGACTCCATCAACATAAAAAAGGATATATTTTTATGACAAATTAGGTTGCCAAAATTTAGGTAGGGGTAGACATGCCCCCCAACCAGCTCTGGTATTGCCACATAAGCTCTTTTACCGAGCTTGCTCCAAAGACTGTCTAAATAAATCTCAAAAGAGATTTTTAAAAAGCTTCAGCAAATTGTTTATGACAGGTGCATAAAGCAATATCCTCAATGGGGAAAAACTAGATCCTTCCCCCTAAGATCAGGGATGAGACAAGGATGCCCACTCACTCCACTACTATTCAATTTAGTACTGGAAGTACTTGCAATACCGATTAGGCAAGAAAAAGATATTAAGGGCATCCAGGTAGGAAAGGAAGAAATCAAGCTCTCACTATTCACAGATGATATGATACTATACTTAGAGAACCCTAACACCTCTATCAAGAAACTCCTAGAAACAATATATTTGTATAGCAAAGTTGCAGACTATAAAATCAATACCCAAAAGTTCATGGCTTTCCTATACGTAAATAGTGAAAGAGAAGAAAGTGACATGAAGAAAACAATCCCGTTCACAGTTGTGCCCCAGAAAATCAAGTTCCTAGGAATCAGCTTAACTAAGGAAGTAAAGGAACTGTACAAAGAAAACTACAAATCCGTACTTCAAGAAATAAAAGAGGACACGAGGAAATGGAAAAATATCCTCTGTTCATGGATCGGGAGACTTAACATTGTCAAAATGGCAATACTTCCCAAAGCACTGTACAAATTAATGCAATCCCTATTACAATACCCATGACATTCTTCAAAGAAATAGAGCAAACACTCCTGAAATTTATATGGAATAATAAGTCCCCACAAATAGCTAAAGCAATTCTTGGGAAAAAGAAAATGGGAGGAATCAACCTTCCTAACATCAAACTCTACTACAAATCAGTAATAATTAAAACAGCATGGTCCTGGAACAAAGGCAGAACTGTAGACCAATGGAAAAGGGTTGAAGATACTGACATATCCCCATAAGCATACGATCATCTAATCTTCAATGGCAAGAAAAGTGAAGTGGAGCAAGGAAACCTTATTTAACAAATTGTGCTGGCAAAACTGGATGGCTACATGCAAAAAAGTGGGCTCAGATCTCTGCCTAATGCCATGTACAAAAGTAAGATAAAAATGGATTAAAGACCTCAACATCAGACCAGAATCCATAAGGTACACTGAAGACAAATTTGGCAAAACCCTCCATGATATTGAAGCTAATGGTATCTATAAATTGTCACACCACTGGCCAAGCAAGTGAAAACAGAGATAGACAAATGGGACTATCTTAAACTAAGAAGCTTCTGCACCTCAAAAGAAACAGTGACCAAAATACAAAGACAGTCTACAGATGGGGAAAGGATATTTTCCAAATACATATCTGACAAGGGGTTGATATTGAGGATATACAAAGTACTGGTTGAACTCCACAAGAAGAAAACATCCAACCCCATAAAAATATGGAGTGACAAAATGAACAAAAACTTTCTCAAAGAAGAAATCCGCCACCACAGATCCCAGTTGAACTGGTGGAGGGATGGGTATTTGATCATTGTATAATTGAAACCCAAGCACAAAATTTGTAGTCTACAACTGTACCTCATGGTGACTCACTAATAAAAATTTAAAAATATATATATAAAAAGAAGAAGAAATCTAAATGGGTAAAAGGCATATGAGAAAATGCCCTACATCATTAATCATCAGGGAGATGCAAATCAAAACAACAATGAGATATCATTTCACACCACAAAGACTACGGTATGACAATAGGGTATTTGATAGGGTTCAAATATGGTAACACCTACAAGGGTGATTAGAGGTCGCCCCAAAATCCTCTATTCCTCTCGGAAAGACTGGCAAGCTACCGAGAGTATTCCGCCCGCACGGAAGAGCCTGGCAAGCTATCCGTTGTGTATTCGATACGCCAAAACCAGTAACTACAACTGGTCTCATTCACCTGACTCTGAAGGCTTCACCGACATGGCAGCACTGAGAAGGATGAGAAAGGAGAGGCCGACAAAATCTCAAGGCCGACCTAGGCTGCCACAACGAAGGAAGACAAAAATGATCGTCTGTACTTTCAATGCACGTACGCTAGCATCAGATGCATCCATCGAGGACCTGATGGTACAAGCGCGAATGATCAAGTATGACATCATTGGTCTGACCGAGACAAGAAGGCACGAATCTCACCATGCCATTTTCGACACTGGAGAAGAATTGTTCCTCGGAACATGTGATAAAAGAGGTGTTGGAGGCGTTGGTGTCCTTGTCAACACAAAGTTGGCCAAGAGCATTGATTCATTCGAATGCCTAACAACCCGAATCAGACGTTTACATTTGAATAGATGTGGCTCACTGCCTGCAGTTTCTATCTTCGTTGTCTACGCACCAACATCTCATTATGATGAAAGAGAAATCGAGAAGTTCTACATGGAGCTGGAGAAGTTCTATAAAGAAGACCACACCTTCTACAAGATCATTGTGGGTGATTTTAATGCCAAGATAGGACCGAGAAGATCAGCTGAAGAACTTCACATCGGGACCCATGGCCTAGAATGGAACGAACAGGGCGAGAGACTGTCTGAGTTCATCATGTCGACCAAAACCATTCATGGTAACTCACAGTTCCAGAAGGCAGAATCTAAATGTTGGACATGGGAGTCTCCCGGTGGACGATTCCACAACGAAATAGACCACATCATATTCAATCGACGTTTTGCCTGACTGATGTCGCTGTTGTCCCAAAATTTCGAACGGTATCGGACCACCGTCTCCTTCGTGCAAAATTGTACTTCACAGAGCGGGGAGAAAGGGCTGCAAAGTTCAAAAAGACAACTCCCAGAATAACCACCAACTGGGAACTCTTTGGTACTATTGCGGCAACATGGGAAGATGCCATTGTTGACAACATTGACGAGGAATACGATCGACTGGTTCAGCATCTCCATGAATGTGTGAGGAACGCCAGGAGAGAGGTAGCCACAAAAAATCGCCTATCTTCGAAAACTCTTGAGCTAATTCGCCAGCGTGGTTTGGCGCATGCCTCAGGCAACTGCAAGCTAAGGTCCGAGCTCGAAAAGCAGTGCAGAGATGTGATCAAGGAAGACCTCAAAGAGAGAAGAGCAGAAGTACTGGTAGATGCGGCAGAAGCCGGG